CAGATTTCTGACACAGAAAATCATTCAGGATGAAGAGCTTCGAGGTTTCTCTAATATGACAAGCTACGTCTTTTGTCTCATTAAGTTCGAGAGAGAAACAAACAGAGACAGCGCAGGTGATAAACTTTTTACATTCAACGTAACCATAAACGGATTAAAAAAAATTGTAACCCCGCTTTGTGTCAGCCCACATCACACCACCCATGCGTTGATTATTTTGCAACACTTTTATTTTTACTGCGCAGCTATCTAACCCTACATCTCAACCCTGGTTTACCCTGCAGCCTACATTTAAAGGTGCATTAGCTAAGATTAGTCCATTTTTTTTTCCAGATTAGCTCTCTAATGATTAAGTAGGTGGGTTAGATATTTGAAAGATTTCCACCCATTCCCGTCCATGTTCATGATTTTCTGAAGAGTTCACGCCGTGACGTGTTGATCTTCTACCGGTCACACGTCTTCATGTGATACAAATTCGCAGGTCAGAGTTCATCCAACTTGAACTTTTGAACTTTGAAGCTTCTTCGCATTGAGCTTGCGTTTCTGATCTCCTGCATTCGCAAGGAGTGTAAGAATGGACGTCAGCGGAACTGAAACGTCTAGTGTGACCGCCGCTTAAGGGAGGCCCGAACACAAACAAGCACTCCGGACCGGAAGTGGGTTTTCCGAATGGGTTTTCTCAGCCACATAATACATTTGTCCTGAGGTCATGGCTTAAAATCATGTTCTACATATTTTGCAGGCCATTTGTACTAGCGAGGAATTTAAAAAAAAGAATCACTTATTGCACCTTTAACTGATGCTCACTCAATCTATTATTGCATCCACATCTTGACCTATACACAAGTTAAAATGTAATGATGCCAGAGAAGGAGCGGTTACGGGAAAAGAACTGAACCACGTTACGGCAACACGTCTTCAACACAGGTCTGAACGTCAACATCGAACGTTTCCCAACATGGTACAATATCTTCTGTATTCACAACATGATATTTTATCCTAGACTGAACTGCACACTTCAGATTTTATATATAGTCACTGAAGGCTATATTATTAGTAGTAACATTTACACGACTTTATTAAGAGATGGATAAATAAAGGCTCGGTAATAGTCAGTCATCTGTGCAGTAACTACAATCGTTACTAGACAACCCGAATGCTCCTCGACTGATGTGTGTGGATCAGCAGGAGGTGGGATTCAGAAGCTAGTTACAGCACTGAGGTGTCATTACGTTTAAACAGAAAACGTTTGCGTACGTCAATAAGGAGTAGGGTTTTATTTCTTTGTTTCTTTGTTTGTTTTAAACCTACTTGTATTTTGGGACACCAGGATTAAAAATAATAGCCCAGACATGAAATCTGCTTATCCAGAGCACCTGGACGTCTAATTTGTCCACATCTGCTCTTTTTTCTCTGTCCATTATTGGACACAAGACCATCTCTGACCATATTATTATTATTATTATTATTATTATTATGATGATATGGGTGATGGAGCTTTCTCACTACAAGTGTACCAGGCCCCATGCATGACATCCCATTATAGCACTCAAATACATTTTTTTTTTTTAAAACAATTTCTTCTCTACATGTCTCATCAGGGCCCATGTCCAGAGATTCCACATCCCACTTCTTTGTCTTGACTTGCCACAATCTGAGGATCAGTGCAATTCTCAGAAAAATACACAACTGAAAATTTAAAGAGACCAAACATTACCAACATGAGTGTAGCCTCTGAGCTAGCTAAAGCAGCAGAGCATTAAAGAAAGCATCAGAAGTGGGGATTAGTACTATAACAGTGGCAGATTAAACTGCAGCATGTATATAATGCATGTTTAAAGAAGGTTCCCGAAAAAAAAGTTTTTTTGTTTTATATTAGATGACCGGCTTATGGGGTGCAGACAAAGCTGCAGCTAGTTAGCAGCCATCCAAGTCAGTTACTGGACCTTACATTATATACACAGAGACATATTACTATATTTAAAACATTAAAACACAACGCAGCATGCATTAAATTAAATTTAAGCTATACCACATTTTTAATTAACACATCTATTTAGTGCTTTGCATGACGCTTTAACTACATTCCTAACTACCAGGCCTGTATTACAGCTGATTGGGAGCTAGCTTTAGCTTTAGCTAGATAGCCAGCACCTAGCTAATTGCCGAAGAGTTTTTGTTTGTTTGTTTGTTTGTTTTTGTTCATTTTAAATGAGCAATGAGATTACAATTCTCTTCTTTCTTTCTTTCTTTCTTTCTTTTATTTATTCGTGCATGTTTGTTCAACTTAGCTAGGAAGTCCAGCAAGATCACTAGCACTGGATTGAAGCTAGCTGGATAACTGTCATAGCCTGGACCTCAGGCGTTTAACAAAAATAAATAAATAAAATAAATAAAACAACTTCACCTGGGAAATAGTGGTGCATTCGAAGGGTACGTGTGACAGCTATAATCTGAGTTGTTCACATTTGTCCGAAAGGATGCACCTTTTGCAGCTGTAGTTAGCAAGAAAGCTGAAAGCAAACAATCAATGGCCACCCCGCTGACTAGCCGAGCTAGCATAGGCGTTAGCTTAGCACGCTAATGCTAGCTCCACGCACAGCTAGCCTTACAGACAAAACAGCCCAACACCGGACCGTATTAAAAATGCATATACGTTTCTCCTGGAACATACCAACAAACCATGTTAGGCTTATAAGATGTGTCTGGAGTAGTATTTAGCTCCAGTAACTACTGACCTTCGATAAAAACGCTCTTCTTGTGGGCCATGTTGTTTATTCCATGTTGTTACCGATTGAGGCTGTTTGTGTCTCTGAGCCACACCGATATTGCTGAGGAAAAGCTGACCAAGTGCCGAGCAGCGACACGGCGTCAAGAAGTCACATTTCAAGAAAAAAAAGTCAGCATTTTAGTTACAATAAGACCAAAAAACGTCTGAATGACTATATTTCATCACTGTTTACTCAATTACTCAGTATACACTTGAATAAACATTTAAAAATCTTGTATGGACGAGTTCCAGAAATGCTATTTACATACCTAATACTACTAGTGGGAAAGATGAATATAACCTAATAGTTGGTCAGGTAATGTGTACTTTTTTTTTTTTGGTCTTTTTATTTTTAACCCAAGAAGTTCATATACACTATACTCTCTACACTATACTCTGGCCAGAAGTCTTTGGACACCTGACCACCACACCCATATGTGCTTGCTGAACATCTCAATCTACAAGGTGTCCTAAATGTCTCCATACATAGAGGACATGAACACTTTTTAGCAAAATTTTTCATTCTTAGTTTATATTATATGTATTTTTTTTTTTTTTCTGATAGCCTTTAAGAATATCTTTGACCAAAGAAGAACGTATTGAAATCATTCTCATGGCTGGATCGGGAAGCTGTCGCAAGGTTGCGATGGACTTTAACGGGAAACGTGGTCACACACGACACTGTTGTTAAACTTATTAACAAATTCAAAAAGACTGGAAGTGTTGCGGACCAACCGAGAAGTGGACGTCCATGAACATCCACTGACGAAGGCACAACCGACATGGTGCTGGCAAACATAGTCCCCTATGTATGGAGACTTTCACGACACCCTGTAGATTTATTCCGTCTTTGCTGTTATAATACCTTCCATTCTTCTGGGAAGGCTTTCCACTAGATTTCAGAGTGTGGCTGTGGGGATTTGTGCTCATTAGTGAGGTCAAGCAATGATGTCGGGCGGGAAGGTCGGCGTTCCGATTCAATGAACACAAAGGTGTTCAGTGGGGTTGAGGTGAGGACTCTGTGCAGGACACTTTAGTTCCTCCACTCACAAACCACGTGTTCATGGGGCTCGCTTTGTGCACAGGGGCATTGTCACGCTGGAACAGGTTTGGTCTTGACCCCTTAGTTCCAGTGAAGGGAAACAGTAATTCCACAGCATACAAAGATACACAGTTGTGTGCTTCCACCGTTGTGGCAACCATTTAGGGAAGACCCACATATAGGTGTGATGGCCAGGTGTCCACAAATTTAAATATAGTGTATACTCTAGATATTTTGTTAAAAAATCGTCCTGAAAAATCCATCTTAGTCTGACCAGTTAACAGCATCCGGTAAGTGCTCGTTAAAAAAAAATGAAAGAGATTCTGAATTACCAGTACTAATGCTATATAACTTGTAGACAAGTTATTGTAAGAAAATAACACGACAGTATGGCAGTTAGAAAGTTTAAGATGTTTAATAGATCAATTTACTCAAGTAATAAGGAAGTTTGGACGTTTCAATTGACAAAGCCGCCAGTTTTGTTTGTAGTTGGTCAGACCAACCTGGATTTTACAGACTAAAATAATTCACCAAACCACAGCCTCTGTTAGCTGCTAGAACCTGCAAGTAAAGTTTGATTTAATAGGTGGAGACAGAAAAACAAATAATTGTTGGTGCAATGTCCAAAACGTTGAGTTAAAAAAGATCAGTATAAAAGGCCCACTCTTGCTACAAGGTTGTACATTTTTTAATTATTTTTGCCCATCAAATAATAAATGTGAGCTTCTTGCAAATAGGAACTGAAGTTTTGATTTGGGGAACTAAAGAAACGTCAGACCGCAAGCGTCATATGATTGGTACGAGGAGTCATTCAAGCCAACTTCATACCTAATTTGAGAAAATCTCAATACGCTGAAATTGTGGCTCTGTCATGCATAGAAAATGAATGGTTACCTGTCACTTGCTTGCATGAATGGAGAGTCATGTCGAAGGGAATTGTTGATATTCCTGGTAATGTTTTTTTCTTGTTTTCACATCTGCCTCGTTTGTATTAAAGACTTAATGGCTTCTTCTTCTTTCGGCTGCTCCCGTTAGGGGTCTCCACAGCAGATCATTGGTCCGCATATTTGATTTGGCACAGGTTTTACGCTGGATGTCCTTCCTGATGCAATCTTCACCAATTTTATCCGGGCTTAGGACCAGAACTGGGAGTGTATTGTCTTGTGTAATTCCATTGGCTGGGGTTGGTTCTCTGGCCAGGACTCAAACCCGGGCCGCTGCGGCAAGAGCACAGTGGTCTAACCACTAGTCCTCCGGGGGCCTAAAGACTTAGTGGCTATTGTATACAATTTAGCTAGCAAAATGTTTTCCTAAATCATGCTTCCTTGGAGTCCTAAAATTGTCCTTATGTCTTGCTTCTGACAAAGGCCATGCTAAACATACTGGATTAAGCCCTCCTCTGCTATCACTTTTCAAGCTCCAATTTGTCACAGATTGCTGTATCATGTGGAATGTGTACTGATAACACTTGTATTGTACTAACACTTGTTAACCAGCTTCCTGTGTTCTTCCTGTACCTTCCTGGAAGACTCCTTCCAAAAATGATAAATAAACATCTACTTATGGAAAACTTTACAATATTGTTACAACATTGTTTCTTTATTAAGAAATTAAGAAATGCTTTTTTTTTTTTTTTTTTAAATCATTCATTATTTGTCTTTGATTATATAGAGCATCTGTCATACAAGTCCATGTGAATGTTACTATAGAAATGATAACATATTAGAATGAGTGCATTAATATAATCCTGTGACTTGTCCTGCAGTCAGCACTATTGTCAGAGCTGAAAATATAGAAAATTAATCAATACCTTCTGACCAATCAGATTTAAGAATTCAACAGTGCTGTGTTATAAATAAAAAAAATCTACATGATGTTTTTAATTACTTCAAACTTAGAGGAAGGTGGAGATCATGGACTAGATACATTATGTTGCATCTCAGACCACTTTCTTGAGAGGATAGGTGAATGGAGTACATGTCTATCTCAGCTTTGTGTTGTATATTAAACAAAAAGGACATTTTGAACCAAATCGACAATTGTTTGCTCAAAATTTAAGGGCAGATGTCATGCTTTTTGGCACAGCTCTGCATAGTATGCTCACACAGCTAACAGGCACAATCAGTGATTAGAGCTTATTATCTGGAGATGCTGTGTGATCTCTGCAGGGAGAAAGTTTTCCCCACAAGGGGATGCTAGAAGCTTGCTTTCTCCAAATGCTTTATCGCTCCAAGTTGAAACTGAGTGCAGCAGACACTATTTATTGGACTGCAAAAATGATTTCATAGCGAGTGAAGATATGTTGAATAAAGGAAAAGCTATCTAATATTTCTCATTATGAAACAAATATAAACCCATTAAGCCTATTTCTAGACATTTTAAGCTTAAAATTCTCTTATTCTATTGGCAGATCATTTTTGCTTATAGAAATAAACACTTGAAATAAGCAAAATTAGAGATAGATTAACAATACAATAGAATAACACTTAAAAACTTCTAATGAGTAAATAAGTCCAGAAACAGGTTTAATAGTCTTACACACACACATATATATATATATATATATACATGTATATTTCCCCATTGAGATCTGATGTGTTTTCAAAGTGTTCCTTTAATTGTTTTGAGCAGTGTATATATATATATATATATATATATATATATATATATATATATATATATATATATATATATATATATATATATATATATATATATATATATATATATGTAGAGGAAACCTGACATTAGTCCTGAACTTCAGTAAAACTTCTCTAAAGCCTATTCTGAATCTTGTATTCTCAAAGTGCTAAGCTTACCAAAATTACCTCTCACAATGAGCATGTCACTCTCATACCTGGCACAGACTTATGTCCGCACACTGACTGACAAAAACATGGGGTTTAAGTAGTGGCGTGCGGATTTGCCTGATTTATATATTTAAATACAATACAATAAAGAGAAATATGAGTTCAAAAAAGAAATAGTATTTACTGACTCCAAATACTGCAATTTTTAAGTATTACTAATACTTCTTACGTACATTTCTGCTCACAATGACAATGCCAGTCTTTACCGTCAATAATATGGGTGTGGATGTATTTCAGAACCTGGTAATGATGTCAATCTGTAGGTGATGACACACTGAATTATGGCCATGAATAGAAACTGGGTGAGAACAGGAAAGAATTTTTGCATGACGACAATCATATTATTCATTAATGTATGTAATAAAACAATGATTATCTCGACAAAAGCAGTCACCTGACAAGTTAAATTAACTACAACCTTACTCAGAATTACTTCAGTTCAGAATTGTTAAAAAAAAGATCAATAAGAAAGGCCCACTCTTGTTACACAGTTGTAACTTTTTAACTATTTTTGCACATCAAATAATAAATGGGAGCTTCTTGCAAATAGGAACTAAAGTTGTGATTGTGGAACTGAAGAAATGTCAGACCACAAGCGTCATATGATTGTTTGTATTAAAGACTTAATGGCTATTTTATACAATCTAGCTACTAAAATGTTTTCCTAAATCATGCTGCCTTGGAGTCCTAAATTTCCCTAAACTGTCCTAATATTTCTCTTCCCACAAGGGCCATGCTAAACATGCTGGATTAAGCCCTCCTCTGCTATCACTTTTCATGCTCCATTTCTTCACAGATTGCTGTATCATATGGAATACACAAATTGAACTAATAACACTTGTTAACCAACTTCCTGTATAGCTGCCACGTAAGGAAAGGAATGGGGTGTGTTGTTACAGGAAAAAAAAAAATCCACCCGAAAGATGATTATTTTTCTATGATAGCACATCCTGAAGTTTATTATTCCTCTTATACAACAGTAATTTTCCAACAATACAATGTGCCATCCTGGAGGAGTTGGACTGCCTGTGCAACCTCTGTAGGGTCCAGGTATCACCTCATGCTACCAGTAGTGACACTGACCCTAGCCAAATGCAAAACTAGTGAAAAACAGTCAGAAAAGATGAGTAGGGAAAAAAATGTCAGTGGCCTCCACCTGTAAAACCATTCCTGTTTTGGGGTCGTCTCATTGTTGCCCATCTAGTGCACCTGTTGTTAATTTCATTAACACCAAAGCAGCTGAAACTGATTAACAACCCCCTCTGCTACTTAACTGACCAGATCAATATCCCAGGAGTTTAATTGACTTGATGCTATACTCTGATTAAAGTGTTCCATTAATTTTTTTTGAGCAGTATATATATATAGTGATATCGTACATCCTTGGATGCTTCTCCTTCAGTCATTTTGCAATGACCGGAGCCTTTAGCCAGGAAGTTATGTCATCAGATGGTTACCAACGATCCTGAAGTGTTTTGACCCTTAACCATAACACTCTCCTGTTGGTGGGTCAGCAGTGGTGGCCAGCCACTACTCACTCCCTCCTGGCTGCCAGCTCAACTCCTCCCTCCTGCTCCAAATCCAACAAGAGGCTCTCTCTGCTGCCTCCCCCAGTCTTTGCACTACCTTCTTTCTCTTCTTTCTTTCTTCTTTCTACTTTCTTTCTCTTCTTTCTTTCCCCCTCAGTCCAACATCTGTCATCAGCTTCTACATATATATATATATATATATATATATATATATATATATATATATATATA